CCTAAGAGTGGAATCACTGGGTCGTTGGTAATTCCATGTTTAAGTTTTCAAGGAACCAACATACTGTTTTCCAGAGCTGCACCATTTTACATTTTCAGCAATGTACAAGCGCTCCAATTTCTCCACAGCCTCATCAATACTTGTTATTTTTCATTTTTTTAATAGTCATCTTACTGCATATGCAGTGGCTGTGCATATTATTTTTGAAATCCACTTTCTTTCTGTTAATGATATATCCCAAACATCATCCCAGGGCCATTGATATCCTTCTATAATCCTTATGAATTGCCATTTTAAAGGCTGTATATTATTCAGTTGTATGTGTGTACATACATATTTTAAAAAATAATCCTCCATTATTGACTATTTAGGTTGTTCTGAGTTTTTTTCTATTATAAATTATGAGGAAATGAATATGCTACAGCTATTTTTTGCACACATTATTATTTCCTTGGTATAAATTCCTAGATGTGCTATTGTTGAATCAAAGATATGGCATATAAGGCTTTAATTCATAATTCTAAATTGCCTCTGCTTAGTTACAAAAGGAAAAAAATCAAGAGTCCTTCAGTGAGGAAACACCCACATCACCACTGCCAGCCCCAGAGACTTCACTGGAAAATATTTACACTTGGTGAGAAAGAGAAAATGCTATGAGAATTTGGTCAATGAAATAGAAATTGTATCCGTCAGCTCTTTTCACCAGATGGCTTGACAATTCTGGAAAGATGAAATTCTTTACAATATTCATCTTGTGTCTGAGGATAAACTTCTCTCAAACAAGTATGATTAGTTTCTTTTTGACGCAACTTTCCTATTTCTCAACTGCCCTTCTTGCCCAGAATATGTGGGGACATTTTTTTTAAATAGGATAGGAGCAGATACTCTTCTACAGAGTTCCCCTAGCAATTACTTGAACTTGAGATTCTGGAGAATCTGCATGTACTTTCTATAGGAAAAGAACAAAGAGAACTTTTTGATTAGTATATCTAAAGTGCAGATAATGTACCAAATCTACATCACGGATGGTCTGGATAATTTTCTTCCTTCTGAAAAATTGTACTGAAATCATCCCATTTCATTTCACCCTCATTGCTTGTTAGGGTAGCTGTCGCAACATTGATCAGAAAACAGAAGCAGCCATCCGAGGTTATTAGAACTGCAGGCTGAGCATGCCTAATCTGAAAATCCAAATTCTGAAATGTTCCAAAATCCAAAACTTTCTGAGTACTGGCCTGATTCCACAAGTGGAAAATTCCACCCCTGACCTTATATGACAAGTTGCAGTCAAAATGCAGGTGCACTAAAAATACTGCATAAAATTACCTTCAGGCTGTGTGCATATGGTGTGTATGAAATCTAAAGGAATTTAATGTTATACTTGGGTCCCATTCCCATTATGAATCTGCAAATATTTCAAACTATGAAAAAATCTGACGTCTGAGGGGCTGAGAATATAGCTCAGTTGGTAGAGTGCTTGCCTCACATGCACAAGGCCCTGGGTTCAATCCCCAGCACCACACACACACACAAACACACACACACACACAAAAAAAAAAAAAAAAAACTGACATCTGAAACACTTCTGGTCCCAGGCATTTTGAATGAGGGATACCAACCTGTACCTAATCTTACTGAGTCACTTCAATAAAAGCCATGGCCTAACACCGTGTCTTGTAAATCAATGTTTCTCACCCCTAACTGCACCAACATCCCTGAGGCCATTGAAATACAGATTGCTGGGTCCCCCTTCCTGAGATTCTGATCCAGTGGGTGTGGATCAAGCCTGAGAATCTGCATTTCTAACTTCCAAATCAGTGATGGTCAGGGGCTACATTGTAAGAACTATTACCCTGATTGCTGTCCCCTGTCATTCACCTCCTTCAATGTAGTATTTATTTATACACACACACACACACACACACACACACACATATTTAGTTGTTGATAGACCTTTATTTTTTATTTATTTATATGCAGTGCTGAGAATCGAACCCAGTGCCTCACACATATCAGGCAAGTGTGCTACTGCTGAGCCACAGCCCCAGTCCTCTCGATGTAGTTTTGAATGATCATTTATGTGAAAGAGGAAGAGCAGAGACTCTACCAAAAAAAAAAAAAAGCCATACAGATTGTGATAATCATGATATAGGGCTTATCACATAAGCTATACCTGTCTTATTCAGGGGACATTTTCTTTTCTGGAGAATTATAGGGGTCTTCTTATTTAGGGCTGATGTCAGTAGACAACTAACTTCTCCACACTGAAGAAGAGAGGGCAATCTGGATCATACATCAACCGTGATGTCCTCACTGGGGTCTCTTTGGTGGTGCATGGCTCTAGCAATGAGTGTTCATGTGATAAGTATTGAACAGCACCGGAAGATGGCTTAATATCTCTTTGTAGACATGTGTTATGGTTCCCAAATAAGATACATTGTTTTTGATAGTTCTATTTCCAATCACTCCAGGGCACTTGTCATCTGGTGGTTGGTACATGTTACTGGCCAACTCAAGGTAAGGGGGCCAGTCTGCAAGATGCACTGGAAACACGTGACTATGAGAGGAGGTGATATTTAGGAACGATGGCAGGTGTGCCTGGGCCTTGTGTGGTCCCTGCTGCATTGCTCTGGACTTAGCCACGGGACTTGCTTTGGCAAAACCACGCTGTGGCACGTGTGATGGCCCAGAGGTGTGGTCAGCACTCACACGCTGGGGCCTGTTCCCTTGAAATGCTTTCTCTCAGGAGAGCTGCCATGCTGGAAAGAAGCCCAAGAAGGTCACCAGATGACCACAAAGAGCAAGAGGCCATCCGGGATGCTCAGCCCCAGCCCAGCTCCCAGGGGATGCAAAGCTGAAGAGCCACCTACTGAGCCCTGTCACTCACAAACTCATGCAAGATAGGAGGCTATGAGAAAGGACAGATCACCAAAACAGAAGGGACCAAAAGGCGGTGTCGTTTAAAACCTAGAAAGCAAATCGATAATCACACAGGAGATTTCCCTGAAGTCATTTCTCCTTTTGTGATACCTGCATTGTAGTCCTGTCCTCAGAGGGAAAAAGAGAATACTAGATGGAAAGAAAGTTTCATTCATTCACCCCTTCAGTCAATGCCTTTAGCTTGGCTTGGTGTGAATACGGTACCTAGGGAGGGAGGGACAGAGGAGGACAGAGGACGCCAGGAGTCCAAGCCCAGAGGAGTCAATGCTGAGACCTGCAGGACGGGGAGGAGGCAGGGCGAGAGAAATTCCCGGAACAGGTGACTTTGCCGGGTAGGGACTCCTGTGAGGTCTTGATTTGGGGTGATTGAATTTCAGGCACTTTTATGAAACTCAGGATTAAAAAAGAAACTAGCAGGGTGGGCCAGGAGACAAGCCTTCGTTATTCATTTAAAGATTTCAAATACAGCTCCTCGCGAGATTTGAGCAAGGCATCTGGAAGCACGTGCTGCACACGTGGCCAAGAAACTATTTCCTTCCATCTGTGACAGAGCCTCATGGGACAAAGCTACCCACCTCCTCTCCCTTCCCCATGACTCCTCCTTCCTCCGCTGACACTAGCCACCTGGGAATTGCCAGCAAGAAAGGCTGGCATGTGTGGGAGCCACCCTAAGAGAAATCGTCCCAGAGGAGAGGTGCTAACCAGGTGAGAACCATGACTCTGAACACGTCTCCTGTTTCCAGAGGAGAGAGACCCTGGCACGGAGCCAGGAACCAGGAAGGGCACGAAAGGAAGAACTAATTTGGAGCTGGTGGGGTGAGCGTGGTCTGGCTGATTTAAAAACAGAGATAGAGACTCCAAGCAGAGCAGAGGACTCTGTCTACCAGATGGGGCTGGTGGGACAGGATGGCAACAATGGAGTCCCCGATGCCCAGGCGTGAAAGGGTCTGTTTTGACAGTAGGGAGACCATATACAGAATGGTGCCTGGTGGATTAGGGGGGCTCACCTCCTACTCTGGGTTTTATTTCCACTCGAATCCCTTGGAGGCAGAGGTTGAGGTTATTGGCTTGGCCCCATAGTGAAGGAAAACCCCAAGCCAGCTCTTCAAGGACCTTCCAGGCTACGAGGAAACCCAGCAAACAGAGAGCTAATGGGCAGATGGAAGGACCGTCCCCACACATGAATTCACTGAGGATCTATTATGGGGCAGGCACCGTACTGAACACCTCGCTGGATGCTCGGGATCCCCAAGAAACAGGACAGAACCCTTCTCTTTACAGAGCATCTGTTCTAATGAACATCTCAACCAAATATATGGAAGTGTGCTGAGGATGGGGGAGGCCGGGAGGGTAGCTGGGGTGCAATGGGAAGCTCGCAGGAGACCGACTTTCAGTGTCTCTCAGCTCACTTGCTCTGTGACCTTAAGCAAGTCCCTGAACCTCTCTGAGCCTCCTTTTTCTATCTGCCAAGTCTTACAGTGATGCAGAGTCTCTGTGGGAATGTCACGTGGTCTCAGTTTGTTGAAGAGCAGAGGAAGGGCAAGACTTTACAGAGGGGACAAACTTTGAGCTTCATGCTATGGGCCAAATGGAAATCTAGACCTCTGTGTGTGGTAGCTCCCGGCAAATATGGCCGCCTCATGGGTAGAAACGTGGGAATTAGAAAGAACAGAAATATCCAGCAGGAAAGCTTAGAGGAAAGAGCCAGAGAGAACAAGTATGCAGCCTGTCCCCAGAGTCATTTTATAGAGCCTGGAATTCGCTGCTAGTGATATTCCCTGGCTTCTCCCTGACGTGGCTCACGGGCTCTGGGATGTTTACTGCAGCGCATTCCAGGGAGGGTGCAGAGAGCCACGTCCAATGTCAGAAAGCTTGGAAATCAGTCCTTGGTTTAATTTTAACTCTTTATATAAACAGTGACCTAATCTGAGGAGGGCTCCGTCTGGCCAGGCATCCCAGTCCCCACATGTCCCCCTCCTCCCTCCTCTGCCCTTAGTCAAACTGTCTCGCCTTTATCTCACAGATGGACTCTGCAAATAAGCACGGGGTGATCTGTGTGCTCAGCTGACTTGAGAAGAGCAAAAGGAGCCAGCAAAGCAAAACACCCCAGCCAGCCATGGCCCTCTGCAGGGGTCACAGAAGCCCAGCCCATGAGCCAGGCCCACCAGAGACGCTCTCAGGAAGGCCAACGGAGGCAGAGGTGAAGGACTCCACTGCCCATCCAGGAGGAGGCCCCTTCTCCCCCTGCAGCCCAGCCCCGGCTATTATTTATATTTTTCTTGAGCAGTATATCAAATCCTCTCTCTATTCACTGTGCAAACAGGCAGAGGGAGCTAAGCTCTGGGTTAGGGCTTTATTGCTCCTTCTCTGTAACTATTATAGGGGCTGAGCTCCCTTGACTTGACAGGTGGGCAGCACCCCGGAGAGCACAGGGATGTGAAATGGGCCTTCCAGTGACTCAGGTGCAAACTCAGGAGCTACGCAGCCACTGGGAGCCCACAGGTGAGCCCAGTGTTGGATGGAGATGGACAGAGACCAGGGAGAGGCAGTCTCCTGGGTGAGCGTGGTGGGAGGAAGGGAGGGAGGGACAAGCAGAGGCTAAGATGCCCTGGCAGGTATTGTCCAGGTCAGGGGTCGGCAAACTCTTTCTGTGAAGGACCAGAAAGTACATGCCATCCGTAGGCCATCTGGTATCTGTCACAGCTCCTCAGCTCTGCCAGGGTCAGACGACAGCAGCTCTGGAGAGCAGACAAACCCAGGGCTTGTCTGTGCTCCAGTGCAAGAGGGTGTACAAAAGTGGGTGGCAGGTGGGCCTGGCTCGTGGGCTGGGCTCTGTGACCCTGATCTAGGGGGTTTTCCCTTTTCCATGTTTCCTTTTAGCCACGATGTCCTAGGAGGAGACATCTGTGACTTCCACTTTCATGATTTCCTTGACAAATTCCTCGCCGCTGGCAGGAGTTGTAAAGGTCAAGGCACAGGAGCTGAAACCTGCAGCCCGCAGTCAGCTCAGGAGCAGTATCAGAACATTCCCTGACAACATCATAGCAAATCCTCCGACCCCACCATTCTCTCTCTCTGGGTCGGTTAGGATCCAGTGTCTCCTACTTTATCCTCTAGGCTTCTTCGTTTCCATTTTATATTTTCTCTCCTTTTGCACATTCTTTGTGCTTTCAACAGGAGTTCCCCAGTCCAATGTCCCAACCCATAAATCCATGACTTAGCCATTCCCAGTCTAGCATTTTCCCATTCTGGTGCAATCCTTAGTCAAGGGTGAGAGCTGGTGTGGTGGTCAAGGCTGGACTCAGCCATTGGACTGCTTGGGCTCAAGTCCATGGACTGCCCATAGTCACAGCCAAGTTCACTGACTTTTCCATTCCTCAGTTTCCCCACCTGTAAAATGGGCCTATCTCATGCTACATGAGTCAAATAAATGGCTAACACATGGGGAGCGCTTAGTAGGTCAGCACACTGAAACCCATAGGCATCTCATGTCTGGGCTGCACTTCTTGATTTGTCTTCACAATATTTTATATTGACAAGACCTCCCGGGATCAGTTTAAATCCCAACTCTTCCAACTCAAAACATAATGCACCGTCTTGGACGAGGGTGGGCTGTGTGTATGACAATCGATCCACAAGATGACAAGGGAACTGAAAAAGGCCTGTGGCTGGTGACATCATAGCCCTGCAGCTTCCTCCTGTGCTTGGGGCGATGCTGGTGTGAACATGTCTACGAGGCTCCAGTCAAAGCGAAGTCCTGCTGTCCCCTACAGGACATGACAGTCGATCATAGAAACAACAACTGTGCTTCTGGTTTATTACACATCTCACGTTGACCACATCTCTTGATGACATCGAGAGGCCACGTGGAGTGATTGACCCAGAATTGTCTGGGTTTGTGTTCTTCACACAGTGACGGGGTCCCCTGGTGTCACATTTCCTGGGAGTTAGCCCCATCAGGACTGACGCTCAAGCGTACCTCTGCTCCAGGTGATGTGTGGCAAGAAAGGTGAGAAGCCAAGGATCTAGCTGTGCTCAGGTAAGCCAACGGTCCCCTGGGAAGGCCAGCTATGCGTCCTGCTGCTGTGTGTTAGCCAGGGCCCCAGGCTTGCCACAGCAAGCTTAAGTAGAAGGGGGCACAGCCCGCCCCCCGGACTGTCCATCACTTCACTAGACACCCTGGGGCCAGTTGAACTGTAGCCCCTGAGGGGCTGTGGGTGGGTGAAGGGGCAGGTCCTGCAGGCAGCTGCCCGACAACCCTGCTTGCACCCACTGGACCTCCCATCAGGGCTTTTTCCTGACCATTGCTTGGCCCCTACTTCCAAGTCCTCGGTCAGTGGGACTCTAGCACTGACTCTAGCAGTCAACTCCTGGCTGAAAAGACACTTAAGGGTTGTCCCCAGGCAGCTCCGAGGTGGTGTGGCCGTGGGGAGCCCGGAACAGAGTTTTGAAAGCTTTCTTCCAACATCCCCCTCTGATCCTTTTCCCGGCACCCAGGCTGGTCCCACCTGTGTCAGATGAAGACGAGCTTCTGTCACTCCCACGATGTCCCCGGATTCTCTGTGGGATTGTCCTGGGGAACTGTTCCTGTACTCCATCTTGCCCTCTGGCTTTTACTCTTTCTTAAAGATTGACTTGGGTGGCAGGAACCTGCACACTATGCTCATTCATTATCTTAGGAAGAAACAAAAATAGCATCACGGTGCCTAAGGAGACTCTTCTCCAGCTCTCCGTCCTGGGTCTCTGTCTCCTGTGGTTGCCCCAGTAAGATGTCACCATGTCTCTACTTCGGTAGCACTGACAACAGGACGCACAAGCACGAAGGGGGTGGGTCTGTCCATCTGTTCATTTTCTGAACTTTTTACTGAGAAATAATATACATTCAGAGAAGAATACAGATCAGACCTCCAATCCACCTTCACAAAGAGATCACATCTACATAATCTGCAGCCACTTCTAGAAACATTACAAGGAAATTTGCTAATGTTAATATGACCAATGTCAGAAAAGCCTTCCTTAAGGCTAAGAGCTCCCATTCTGTAATTTCCAGCAACTCTTTCAGCTCTAAGGAGTTACACAAAATAAGTGCAATGTTTTCTTTTTTTTAGAAATGTTTTCTTACTTTCAAGTACTTGGAGTAAAACGTTTGCCATCCTTAAAAATTCTCTTTCCCCGTATTATGCAATCTTCTCTCAACCAGTTTTGCTATGACAAGACGCTGCTTATGATGGTATATGGAGGTACACTGGGTTGGAGGGCCAACTTAGGCAAAGAGACGTGTGGAGAACAGATGTTCAGGGACAGAAAGTGACTCTCTGGTCTGGTCAGTAGCAATACAAGAAGCAAACAGAACCTGAATGGCGTCTGCCACAAAAGCCGTCAAGTTCCCCTCCTCTGGGTCACGGTGGGAAGTCTGGTTGCTCCAGTCTTCCTGGGTAGGTGGACATCAGGTGGACAGAGAGCAAGAGACACCAGCTGATGCACAGGCTGAGGTCCTCCAGGGGACTGGCACAAGTCAGTGGCAGCCCAGGGACCCAGGGTGGTGCAATCAGAGCTGGCAGCTGAGAGATGACCGCTGAACTGAGGTGAGAAAAAGCTCTGGCTGCTACCAAGACTCAGGCGACACTCATCTGGGGCTAACTACAGAACCCTCCAAGTTTTCAGGGACAGCCCAGGAGACAGGATAAGGCCTTAGGTGTTGGGGACCACACGGATTAGATTTCCAGACTTTGGGGACAGGAATTAATTCTTGCTGACGTGGATAACATGGAGTCGACTCAGCCTCCTCCAACAGCCCCTCCTCCACCGCGCCACCTGGAGCCACGGGAAGGGACCGGACCAAGTGGAAATGTAAAATGTATTAAGTTTGGACACTTTAGACCCGTGTCCTCTTCCAGATCCTTCCGTAGTCCATAGAACTTCTCCTTTTCTGCTTCTTCCTCCTCCTTTTCTTCCTCCATCTTCTCCTTCCTCCTTTAAATACTGAGTCCAGTTAATTCAAGGTATCAAAAAGGAGTCCCTTATTCATGTTAATGTGTTCATTTAGGCAGGTATTTGATATGCTCCTTTTAATAGTATTTATTCTTAAATTTAATTGTTGCTTTTTCATTCCAATTGTATTCAGGGAACATTTGAAAATAAAAGTGGTGGGTTTGGCCTCCTCTGCGTACAGAATCCAGCTGCGTGGGTCCTACTCGGGTCTGTTTTTAGCTTTTCCTGTGTACATACTCCTAGTCTTTGGTGTCCTGAGTCGTTGCTACATTTGTTCAGAAAGAACTCGTCCATTTCCTGTTTCAGGGCCTGACTCGCGGCCTGTGTCTGTTTCCCCTAGCGTTCCAGAGCCCCACCACACAATTTAAAGTGTAATGGGTATTGGCTGTGGAGTATTCAAACCCATTGCCAGAAAAACCCTGTTGGTTGAGCAGAGTTGGGTTTTTTGGACTTACTGCAACAAGGGAGAACATTGGCATGCTCTGGAGTCCAGTGGCATCTCAGGATAGAGAAGTCGAAGGAGGGTTACTTAAGGTTTTAGAGCCGGGTTGGGTGAATTTTTGCATAGCAGGGGACAGGTTGGGATTGACCTGTTAGTCCTGATAAGTGAGACATTTCAGGAATTCCATAGTCTAATTACCCAGGGGCCAACATTTATTGAAGCAAGGCACTAGGTTATTTTTGCCTGGTCCCAGCCTTGGTCAGCTGAAAACCAGGAAAGCAAACTTTATCTCAGAACGGTTTAATGAAAAAAAAAAAAGGGAAACAGGTTAGTTTCAGTTCATATGAGCATGCAAAAGGGGTTTGACTACAACTTCAATATCCAGAGGGAGCATGGTTTTAATATTTTCCCTCTAACTGATCTGCTCTACTAGGTGGGCACATTATGGGTAAATAAGAACAAATCCATTGGTGCAGCTTAGGGTCCTAGTGACTGGGACAGTGGCTCTTGGCCACCCGCTTGCTGATCTGTCCATTGGAGTTTCCAGTTACCCTTCATAGCTAAGAGAATATTTTTTTCTAGTTCCTCTCCCTTGGCCAGAGCTGACAGTTCTCTCTGGGTGACTTGGTGTCCCCCCCAGCAATAGCCAATCGCAGCACACTCTAATCTCTCGTTCTGTTCCTGAGCCTGCATATTTCTTCCCAGCCTTTGGGGGCCTCCATGATAGACCAACTAGATCCATTCTAGGCTTCTCTGGGTGGAAATAAATGAAGACCAGCCACAAAAGGGAAGCAAAGTCTATTTATTCTAGGCTTGCTCTAGTGAGGGAATCACCTGCTGTCATAGTGTCTGGCAGAGACTCAAAGGCAGGCAGAGAAGAGGGCAGTCTGTCCAAGGGAAGGCTGCAGGTCTGTCCTGATTGGTGGCTTTTGGCACAGGGAAGTTGGAGGCAGCTAACGGGAAGCAGGCATCTGTATGATTAGTGAAAGATGTGTCTCAGTCCAATTTGTGTTGCTATAACACAATACCACATGCTGGGTAGCTTATAAAGAAAAGAGATTTATTTCTCACAGTTCTGGAGGCTGGAAAGTCCAAGATTACGATGCCAGGGCCTTTTTGCTGCATTATCCCATGGTGGAAGGCAAGAGGGTGAAAGAAGGCAGGAAAGCAAGAGAGCGCTAAACTCACTTTTAAAACAAACCCATTCATTAATTCATTCGTGAAGGCAGAGACCTCATGGTCTAATCAACTCTTAAAGGTGCCACCTTTCAACACTGCTGCATTGAGAATTGATTTCCCAACACACAGATGCTAGGGAACACACCCAAACCATAGTAAGATGCACACTCAGCTTTGTCTGGTGGGTCTTAAGTTGGAAGCTGAGAAAAATCTTAGGGAAGCTGGCCATTAATCAAGTCTTGGTCATCTCGTGCTGGTTGTTAGTAGTTATCATGTAGATTCCTTGATTGTTGCTAGAGATAGCGGTGTAGTTTTCCTGCAAGCCTAACTTACAGCAGGCTGGCTTCCTGAGTTGTTTATTGTTGACAAGAGGACCGGTTTCCTGGGAAGGTTGTCATAGGCTGTGGGTCAGAGTTCTGCTTTTAAACATGGTCTAGCCACTGTCCATTTCATATTCAGTCTCTCACTACCACACAGGAGCTGACGGACTCAACCAGGCGTGGTAAGGAGACCCTCCGAGCCGCTTCAACCCCTTACCAATGTCGCAGGTGCACAATTTCGTCTCCGTGCCTCTGGCCCTTGGTGTTGACACCAACTGCTGTTGGATTCTCCTAACTCAACCCCTTCCTCTTTTCTTCCTCTTTAATTTTTTTCTCTTATCATCTCCCACGACTGGGGAACAGGGCTCACCTGCTGTCTTCTGGGGCATTACTTCTTCCAACGGGACAGCAAGTCTCATGTCTAGCTCTTGTCTCCAGAGGAAAAAACTTTCCCACCTTGCAGAACTTGAAGGTCTGGGTGCTCCCCAGACTTGGGGTTGGCAATGGACAGGATGTTTCTTTATCCTGTTAGACAGACTAACGCCAAGGTTTCCAACCTGTCACCTTGAGCCCTGTCACAGATGGCTTATTGATAGTGGCAGACACCCTGTGTCCAGTTTAGTCCTGCCACGTTAGCCACTGTCTAGGAGAGCCTCGACCAGGAAAGAAGTTAGGTTCAAGTGTGTTGATGGGGTAAGACACAGAACGGGCAGCACAACAGGACCCATGAGATGTCTGAAGCAGTTTATTGCTCACAGATCCCGGTGACAAGAGGGCAGCACACCCAGCAGGGCCAGTGGGAAGACAGAGACCATCAGGAACATGGGCACTCAAGCAGCAGGTGGGAAGCATGTCACCGAGAAAGACAGGCTGGGGTTGAAGGTTTCCTTGGCGTCCAGGGCATTGCCCAAGCAGGTCTCCCACAGGGTGTTCTGAGTGGCAGGATTGGAAGGCAGGTGCACATCATGAAGTCTCGGTGAGCCTGAAAGATGTTCCCGGTGGCTTATCTGTGCAGCCCACGCAGGATGGGAGTCAGGGGGTTACCCAAGTAGGTTGCATCTAGCTGCTGCATAAGGAGGTGGTCACTGAGAGGCAGTCGTTTAAGGCAGGTGACAGATCGGTCACCGTGAGGAAGGAGGGGAGATGGAAAACTGGAAACTGCGTAAAGGTGACAAAAATCCCAATTCTGGAATGAAAAAAAGTCCAACTTACACTGAAAATGAATCTCAAGGCAACCTAAAATTATAAGAATTCACTGCCTAGGACAGAGGAGGAGATAAAGAAATTCAGGTAGGTTTTAGGGAAAAAAAAATAGTTTCCTTGCCAGTCTATTTTGTTTCAAATCCTATATTGAATATCAAAAGCTTTCTTTCTCTTGGCATAACGCAAGACTTACCCCCAGACCTCGGGGCAGATGACCCTGGAGCCAATTAGGAAGAAAAACCTACACTTGCAAAACCAAAAGGGAAATTGCATTAATTTCTTTTTCTAAATATGGCTCTGATTGCACAAGTTATTCTTCACTATGTTCACATAGAATTCTTTTGTTCCTGCTTCCTTCCACTGGCTTTCTTTGGGGTAGCAGAGGTTAATAGGGAGAAATGAAGCTATTTCTTGTGCTCTGTTTAAAAAAATGATCTCTTCCTCTCCATTTTAACTGCTGGAATATAAAGTCTCTTTTATCTTCTCAGTATAGGGCTCCACCTTTTCAGAAGAGGCTCCATTGGTTTTTCTGTTTCTTTCCCATAATTTTGAACTTCCCACCCCCCACTTGCTTGACTCTTAATGGAAAATAGATCTACAGCACATCACTTGTAAAGATCTTGTTCATGAGGCTCCCTACCTGACCCTCTACTGGAAGTCCGTCAAGGTCTGTGTGTGCATACATGTGCAGGCAATAATAGGTCCTCTGTCCTTCCTTGACTTGATTGCCCTTACAGACTGCATGTAATAATAATTTTATATCTGAGTTTGGCTGTTATTTCATTCCCTCTAGTTCTAACCCATTATTTTACATTTTCAGAGGCTCATTATGACTCATTGGGCAGCCGAAGAAACATAATGAGTCCAAGATGATTGCATGTGGCGGCACTCCACAAATAGATATTAAACAGCTCATGAAATCTATAAATGTCCTCACTATCCTGGGTGCATTACAAAGCTATGAATCAATAATTCAGTTTTGTATGCTCTTTAAGATTCTAGCTTTCTTGACTTTTCTTCTTGGAGATGGAGGCTATAAGCAATACAGGGAAAAGAAGGTTGATGGAGGAGAAGACTACAAAGAAAAAAAAAAGAAAATATTTAAAATAATATAAGCCCTTTCTCAGAGCTCTTTGACAGTTGTCCGCATGAAGAACAAACAATATCAGGCACAGAGTATAAATGTTCAAAACACATTTGTTGAATGAGCAAATAAGTTTAATGACTATATTTTGGATTGAATTTGGACGTGGGTTTTGATAGCGCCTGGCACTGCCCATGTATCCGTTCATTAATTCTCAAAACTGAGGAAGGACCTGATATTATCGCCACTTACCAAATGGTAATACCAGAGGCCTCCAATAAAGAGAAATATACAAGCTGAATGTTGGGAAAAGTCCATGTTTATTAGGAAGCTTATAAAGATACTGAAAAAAGAAACTATCTAGGAATAACTGAATTTGGATTCGCCTTTAGGGTCTGCATTTCATGCCACCATCTACCAACTTGCCAAGCCCAGACACGTGAGTATCATCTACACTCACATCCACACCCGATCCCCACCACATTCCCTCTGTGCTTCCACAATTTTCATATACATCCTCTCCTGCTCCACTGTCATTACCAAATTCCAAACTGTCATTAATTCTTAACTTGGTGAAAGAAAGAACCTTCCAACCAATCTCCCTGTCTCCACTCTTGCTTCTTTTCCCACTACATGCTGACATAATCTTCAGAAATACAAACTTAACTGTGGTCCTCTTCTGTTTAAACATCTTTCAAGTATTTCGCTCGTTTTGAGGATAGAATTGAAATTCATTAACAGAGCACACGGCGTCCCCCAAGATCTCCCCTGGATCTCCCTCCGGCCTCATCAACTCACCGTCAAGAAGAATTTCCCATTCTTCTTGAACATTCATTCTTCACACCTTCCTTAGGACACCTGTGTCTCTGAGCATGTAAAAGCATTTTCCCTTCTTATCCTTCCTTCGGCTGTAAGACATCCTTGAAGATCTAGCTCTGTTGTCCTCTGGGACACCTAACCTACTTCTCCTGTTCCCTCCAACGAACACACATCTCAAAAGTGAGCCTCACACTTTATGAGACTGGATCCCGACAGGAAGGCACCCAACGACCAGTCTAAATCTGAGGAGAGTTTATTCACAAGGGACTATGAATGAAGTTGCTGGTGAAGTTAAGCAGAAGCACAGGGACTGGTATAGAAATTTGGGGTTAGTGGCAGCCACAGAGCTGCCACATCCCTGGGTCAGAAGGCAGATGGTAAGGGAGAGGGTGGGTTCGTTTGGTATGATCAGTGATATTTAATTGAGTCATCCTCCAAAGGAGGGTTAGAATAAACACCCATGAGCTTCCTCTCTGTCCTCCAGCCTCCTGAAACGCTCCTCACTGTGGGAGGCACCAGGAAACCAGAGGGCCCAGGAGTCTTGCTGCTGTGACCCATGTCGACCGCCCTCTAGGGGAAGAGCTAAAGGTGATGCGATGAGGAAAGATCTCCCCTCTACTGCGGACCTCTAAATTAAACCAACGAAGGACAGATGGAGAGCGAAGCACAGAAATTTTACTTATGTTAATATTTTTCCATGGCACAGGGTCCTTCGTAGAAAAGAAATGAAGACCCCCACAGGGGATTCAGCCTGAGAGCTCATATACCATTTCAGCCAAGAACAATCAGTTGTGGAGATGTGACCAGATTAAAGCAAAGGGGTTTCAGGCTTCAACAATAAATTGTGGGAAAGCAACTAGGAAATTTGTGGGGAAAAACAATGAAAGATAAGGACGATTTTAGTAGATTTGTTTGTACAGATTTGACTTGACATCAACTACCCATTTCCAGTGACAGAAAAGTTCTCTTCCTGGTTCAGGGAAGGAGGCACCTTTCACAATGGGGAATCTACGCCTCCTGGAAGAAGGCAAAGAGTCTTACCTGCATCTGCTGTTTCTCAAATTTCAGCTCAAAATAAGCAGTATGTCCAAGTGTGATATTTGGGGTGGCATGCCAGGGGCAGATCTGCAGGGGCACAGTGCCCTTCTTCTGTGGCCCACGGTATTGTGCACACCTCTGAAATCCACACCCACTCCTGAACTCTAATTGCTGAACTGCTTCTCTCCCTCCTTAGTCTGTCTGCTGTTTGAAAAGGAGTTGGGCCTTTCACCTCTTTTCCCCAGTGGCTACTACAGTGCCTGGCATATGACATGAATGCAATAAGTATTCTCTAAAATGAAATAAAAATGTGATTGTGCACAGTGCCAGAACTGTTGGAGACCTCAGAGGTGGTTTAGTCTACTCTTCTCATTTCCAACATGAAAAAAAAAAAAACTGTCACCTGGAGGCAAATGGCTGTGTCCAAGCATTACTATGAATAGCAGTAAACTCAGGACTAGATTTTCATTTTTCTGATTCCAGGTTTCCTCTACTCCTTAATTTTAACTGCAATCTCAGGTTGTTCCTTGGAACGAGAACTCATACAAGTTTCCCATAAAACCCAGAGTCGTATGTTTTGGCAACAAGAGCGAGACAGCGAGAAGGGTTGGATCTGCCTGCTTTGATTCCTTTGCCAAAAACAACTTCTGAGTTCTCTGGATAGCACACTTGCAAACCTCGCAAAGTGCCACAAGTTGGAGTCATGAAACGAAGTGTGGAGCCTGAGAATAACTCCTTCGCACAGACTACCTCTGGTGGTGGGTGGTGAGGTTTTTTTTTTTTTTCTTTAACATCCTATTAGCACATTATCTTTAGTTTCCAGAGCCTTTCTTGGTTCCAAACTTACAGGTGGTGATGGTGAGTGGGAGATTGAGTAAGATGTTCCTTAGTCGGGAGGCAAAGCTGTTGGTCCCTCCTCATGCCACGGTTCAGCCATTGGCCACAGCTGCTGCTGCTGCTGCTGCTGCAGCTTTCTTCCAGGCAAATGCAATCACTGCTTCTGAAATGTGTGCATGCCAGGAGCAAGAGTCAGGAGCACTCATCATCCTGGACCAGAATCACCTGTTTACCTATCTGCCCTCACCCCACTGTGTGCTCTTGAAATCCTTGGTTATGTCTTCTGTCTAGGTAGCCTGAATCCTGGTCAAGTGTCCAATTTTGCATTCTTTGGTAACCCCCAAAGGAAGAAGAAAATGTTGGGTGGCTTTGAGAACGTGGATTCAGTGGCGAGGAGCTAGATGACAAGACCTGGCCGCCTTCTGAGCCCTCATGAATAGAGGGTGCTCCTCCCACCACCAAGTGGCCGATGTGATGATCTAAGAAGATTGTGCACTTGCAACTCCTGTGAGGAGTTGTATGATCATACAACTTTGGGTAAGTTAAGCCACGTTGGATCCTCATCGTCCTCAGCAGTAAAATGAGCACTCTAACTCTGAAGGTCTTTTCGTGCTCTGAAATTCTACTGGATTCCCTTACCATCAGATACCCACCTCTCTCCTCTTGGACAGAGGAGAAGCCAATCCACTAAAAGAACAAAGAGAAAACTATATGGATGATGTAGGATCGCAACCAATTTTGCTCCTGCCAAAAGAAAACCCACACTGCATATTTGAGTTTTTCAGAGGACATGTACTGTTTGAAAATCATCTTCTGTCTTGCATTTAAAAAAAAATTTTTTTAAGAAGAAGAAAAAGACAAGTGGGAGAGGCATAAACATTCTGCACATAACTTTTCTACTTATAGACAGATTTTTTTGATGCTTTTTTTCTCTCTCTCTCTCTCGCTGGAGGTGTGAGGGAGGATTCCCATAGCTGGAGGAGGGTGGAAGTCAGGGGACTGTGGGAGAAGGCAAGTGTGATCGTGGGACTACACTTAATTCATTAAAATGTGTGTTGTTTTTTTTTTAAAAAACCATTTTGCCAAAAATGAGCTTTGTGGGAAGGAAAAGGCAGCAGGGACATAGATGCGTGGGGGAAAGGGAGGAGGAAGAAGGCCAAGAGAAAAGGAAGTCTTATTTATTGCTCAATGTTGAATCCCACATAAGAATGTGTCATGAGCCAATTCAGGGAAATTAAAATGCAAATTGGGGGAGTTCAATCTATTAGGCACAGATATAGTGGATTGACATTATTATCATTCCTATTTTTATAGGAATTGTGAACATTCTCCCAAAGACTTCAGAAAGTTTGGGGAAACGAGTTAGCCTCTTTTCTCATTTCCAGACTTTTCTCAAATGAAATGGCAGCCATCTGTCAACATTGTGCTTTTATTCCTTTTGGTATACTGTGAACTGCATCAGAAACTGACTGCATTTGTTGGGGTGACACTAGCTGTTGTAACCAACACCAAGCTCCAGTGACTCAACACAACAGAAGTTGATTTCTCATGCACACAACATTCCTGGGCAGGTATTTCTGGTGGACATGTGACTTTCCTCAAGGAGACAGCTAAAGCTGAAGCTCAGTGAACTCTGCTACCTTTGAATGGGTCTCCTCCAAATTTAGGTGTTGCCAATGGGATGGTACTAAGGGGAAGGAGGGTCTTTAAGGAGATGATTGGGTCAGGAAGGCTCTTCCCTTCCAGAATGGAATCGGCATTTCATCTCAAGGCTTAGCTATCCCCTTGGGAAATAGAAATTCATAGTACCTGGCCCTGGAAAGAGAAAAAATAAGGTGAAAAAAAAATTTTTTAAATGACATTGGTTCAGAAACAACAAAAAATCGTTCTGCATGTGTCCTACTGCCCCAACCCAGATGAATGAGTAAGCTGGGAATGAAGTCTCAGATTGGGTAGCAGGGATCAGAGACCAGAGAACAGGAGCCATTCCAGCAGGGACATTTCACTAGGTAAGAAGGAGCATGGATTTGGACAATCAGTCATTTCTACACTGCCCACTTACTGTCATCACTCTGGGACTCAAAGAAAAATGGCAGCACTTCCTTTTCCAGTGACTGCAACTCTTTTTCTAAAGGCTTCCAAGGCAGAGCCCTAATTCATCTCTCCTGTGAAATTTTCATGACTGAGGGGAAGGGCACGCATGGGCATGGCCTGTGTCGCTGCGCTTCTCTTTGCTTTTCCCTGATCCTTCTCCACTCTGGAATCTACTTCCTGTCCACCGCCAGTCCCTGTGGTCTCTTCATGCATTCATTAGATCCCCTGTTTGTGTACCTCATGGGTCTCCTCTCTTAGACACATTTGTTTAAAAAGCTTTGTCTCTGTCAATGAGTTTCCAAGCATTCATCAGCCAACAAGATAACGTCCCTTAAGGAAACCTTTTGACAGGCAGAAACCCCAAAACCATACCCAGGATGTCCCTGAGTGTGTCAACACTCACCAGGAACCAAGGACTTTTCTTCTTTGCTTATTAGTCAGAGAATATTAGAAACAATGTTTTAGTCAGCCTTTCCACTGCTGTGACTAAAGGATCTGACCAGAACAACTACAGAGGAGGGAGAGTTTATTTGAGGGCTCACGAATTCAGAGGTCTTAGTCCATAGAACGCTGGCTCCATTTCTTGGGGCTTGAGATGGGGTTGAACATCATGGCGGAGTGTGTGGCAGGGGGAAGTGGCTCACATCATGGTGATCAAGAAGCAGAGAGGGAGAGACTCCACTCACCAGATACAAATAGCCACCCCACAGCCATGCCCCAGTTCCTCCTCCCCCAGCCACACCCTTCCACTGCAGCTAATCTCATCATGGATTAATCCACTGATTGGGTTAAGGCTCTCACAACCCGATCATTTCTCCTCTGAACCTTCTTGCATTGTGTCACATGTGAGCTTTGGGGGGACACCATCCAAACCCTAACGGACAGCTTATTTTCAGCAGTGCAGAAACTGAGATGCAGGGAACCTGGATTGAGTTCCACAACTAATTTGTGAAGAAGCAAGTGTAGGACTCAGGAGTCCTGACTTCCATGAGTGTTCTTTCATTCTCACAGAGTCGCTGGGGCAGGGGAGCCAATTCCAGCAGGCTTTGGAAACCGTGGAGACACTTCAGGGAATCTGTTTAAACACGTGTCCTGTGTGATGGAGTTTTCACCAGTCTTGCCATTTCTTTTTGCCACCCAGATCTTTTCAATTTTGGGAACATGGAGGATCATTTTAGATACCCACAATATTTTCATTAGGGTCTGATGTTTGGAGGGTGACTACTAGTCGATTCTTCTTTTTAAAATTTGTTTTAAAAAGCTAATGTTGTTTGGCAGGGCGTGGTGGCGCGCGCCTGTAATCCCAGCGGCTTGGGAGGCTGAGGCAGGAGGGTCTCCAGTTCAAAGCCAGCCTCAGCGACTTAGAAAAGACCTAAACAACTCTGTGAGACCCTGTCTCTAAATAAAATACAAAAAGGAGCTGGGGATGTGGCTCAGTGGTTGAGTGCCCCTGAGGAAAAAAAAGCTAATGTTGACATAAATTATAACAGCATCAAAGATATCTAGAGGTCAAATAATCAACAAATGTACACAATATCAAAGTCAGAAGATCTAAATATTATTTAAAGAAATTTAAAGAAGTCCTAAGTAGATTTTTAAAAAATATTTATTTTTTGGTTGTATTTAGACACGATACCTTTATTTTATTTATTTATTTTTATGTGGTGCTGAGGATCAAACCCAGGGCCTCATACATGCTAGGCGAACACTCTACCACTGAGCCACAACCCCAGCCCCTAAGTAGATTTTTTAAATGAGCCACTTTTATGAATTGAAAGGCTCATTGCTATAATCAAACCTCTCCAAACTGATCTATAGAGTCAATGTTGTACCAATCCAAATCCCAGGAAGTTGGAGGAAATTGAGTAGCTGATTCTAAAATTAATGTGGATATGCCAAGTCTCAAGCATACCCAATACAATCTTGAAGAAAAAAAGAACTGGGAAGCCATCATGACTCATTCTATAAAGTACACTACTTAAATCAGAGTAACTTGGACCAGGAAAAATGGGAGGATAGAAAATCCGCCAACAGACCCGTGGCTTAATGTGTACTTGATTTGACAGCATAGAATCATGATTTCTATGTACTTGATTTCTCCAACAGCATAGAATCATGGGGAAAGGACAGTCTTTTCAATAAATGGCACTGGTTCAATGAGACATCTACATAGGAAAAAACCAATCTTGGTACTTACCACACACTCACACAAATAAATACCCATTCCAAATGTGAAAGGCAGAATGGTCAGTCTTGTAGAAGAAGGTTTGGCTAACTTGTTCTGAAAAGAGCCAGATATGAAACATTTTGGGTTTTATGTGCTTTGGGATCTGCTGTTGTCTTAGGCTCTATGAAAACCCATAAGCAGGATTGTGTCCCCATAAAAGGAAAAGTTGATTCAAAGACATAGATGTTGGAACGGATGGACCACCACTTGCCAATCTCTGCCCTAGGAGGTGACGGGGGAGAATATCTTCATAATCTTGTGTTAAGATTATTAAGCAGCCACAAAAACTACTAACCATCAAGGAAAAGCTACAATAGACTCCTTTAAATCTAATACCTGTTCATCAAAAAAACACCTCTAAAATAGAAAAGCAGTCTACAGAATGCAAGAAGTTATCTGAAATACGTGTGACTCGCATGTATTTTTAATAGAGAATATATAAAACTACAAATCAATAAGGAAGACAATTCAATGACATGATCAGACATGTCCCAAAAGAGGATAGCCAAATCGCTAATGATAAATTGCCCTTAGGAAAATAAAAGTTGAAACCAAAATGAGACATCACTCATACCCATCAGAATGACCCTGATTTAAAAGTCTCCATACCAAATGTTAACAAGAATCTTGAGCATGTGTACTGTTGGTGGAAGTGTAAACCACACACCTGTTTTTGAAAAGTCTGTGGCAAGTTTCTTCTGAAGCCAAATATATGCAGAGCCTATGACTCAGCAATGCCACTTCTCAGCAAAGCCCCACAGACATGTGTACCAGAGGCATGTAGAGGAATGTTCTCGGTAGCATCACTTAGAATAGCTTCAAATTGTAAACCACCTAAATGTCCTTCAAAAAAGGTCCAGACCAAAAACAAAAATAAAAACAAAAACATGGTATATTTATAGAATGAATGCTGAACAGTGTTGGGTTTAGAACATGGTACACTACAATGGCAGTGTTCAAAGCCAAGATTCTCTTTCTCCTGCCCTCGGGGCTCTCACTTCTTATTCACCCCAGAGGTGAGCCATAGAAACTAGAATCCATCTTCCCCAAGGCCAGGTCCTAGAAGCCAGACCTCTCTGTCCCCCCGAAAGGCAGTCATAAAGCCCGGGAATATTACTATTTCCCCACCTCTCTGTGTAAGACTTGCCATAAAGGAATTCTCTGACCTACCTTGTTTGACTGTAGGTCATTAGACTTCCATTTTGGAGAGGTTCCTGACCCACAGAAAGAGGGAAACTACAGACAGACCAAGAGGAATCTGACCAGACAGGTCTTGCTGGGATTCCCACCGGGTCTCCTGCCACTGGATCCTACCCTTTTTGTACCATCCTGGGTCTACAGGATGAAAGGCATAAAAACTGAGGGTTCACCCTGCGTCTTTGGGCCTTCAATTTGAGGGCTCCTGTGTCATGTGAAACTAAGGTCAAATGTTTGTTACGGTTTTCTCCTTTCAACCTGTCTTCTGTTTCGGGGTGTTGGCTACGACTCTATGATGGACAGGAAAAGGATCACCCCTTCCCCCACCTCTAAAACAGCAATGAAATGAGTGAGCTCCCATTACAGGTAAACACATCGAAATCTGCAAATAGAGCGTCAAGTGAAAGTAGCCAGACCTCAAAGAATACAGAAGGTGTGATTATAATGGCATGCCATCCAAACACAAATAAAGCCTGCTCACGGTGTTGAGTCAGGATGGCGGTGATCTTTAAAGAGAACGG